TGTGTGCGGGCGCTGGAGGAGGGGCAGCCTTGCTGTGCTGCTCGCAGGCTGGGCCAGTCTCAGAGCTCTCAGGGCCCAGCTGGGGGCCGGGGCGCGAGTGGGTGTCTGGGAGACAGCAAGCCAGGTGCACAGGCTGGGGACGGGACAGCCCCGGGAAGGCCAAGGGTTCCTGCAGTGGGCGTGGGGGCCGGAGGGGCTGAGGGTGAGGGCTGTGACCGTGGCCAAGTCACTGGGCCTCACCTGACAGCCGGCTCTGTGGGCAGGGGCGGCAGCACAGTAATGATGGCTGGGAGCCGGGAAGACTGGCCTGGCTGAGGCTGGGAGCAGGGGGGGGGGCGCCAAGAGGAGCACAGGTGGGGGGGTGCGGGGGGATGGCACAGAACCACGGGCCTGGGCGATGGATGGGGGGAGATGAGGGATCCTACAGGCTTGCCCTAGGTTCAGGGGTATGAAGAGGCCGGGGCAGGACTGAGCCCCAGGAAGCCGGGAGGCCTGGGGGTCCGGGCGAGCGTGGGGGAGCGCTCCCCCAGTATGTGTCCTCCCTCATTCCCCAGCTGTGATGATGCCCAGCTCTGTGGGTGTGCTCATATGCATGTGAGAGTGTGTGTGTGTGCATGTGTGAGACACAGACTGTGGGTGATCCAGGCCATCTTCTGTCTACCCCCCTCCTCCTTCATTGTCCCGGAGACCAGCCTGGCTCCAATCACCATGGCAACAGTGCAGCCCCCTCCCACCAGCAGGACAGGGTGACCTATGGGGCCAGAGGTTTCCAGGGCCAGGGGGCCGGCAGGGATCCTCCGGTAGAACCTGCCCTGCCCTCCGCCTCAGGAAACAGCTGTGTGGGGAGGAAGGGACTTGAAGAGGCACCTGGCTCTGGTGCAAGGCTGCCCCTCTTAGCAGGACGGCCCAACACATGGAGATGTCCACAGCACAGTGGCCTGAGCCCCAGACACCTTGAAGGGTGACGGGAGGCCAAGGGACACGACCTGACTCTCTGTGGTCAGTGGGGCAACAGGATAAGAACCCAGCACCTCCACCCCCGTTGAGCCCACTGCTGCTGGCCTCTCCCTGCCATGTGTAGGGGTGTCCTCAGCCCTGCTGCTCATGGACTTGCTGGCCTGGGCCACACCTGCCTGTGGGCCCCAGAGCCCACCATCAGAGTTTGAGGGGCTGTTGACAGGACACACGCACCTCCTCTTTCTGAAGAAGTGTGAGTGCATGCTGCTCTGAGTTTGGGGAGACTCAAGGTCTTTAGATCAAGACTCTGCAGCTGGGGGGGCCCGGGGGGGGCCCCTCCCCAAGGCTGACTCCCCAGGCCAGGGACCCACTGGGCACACAGACCAGAACGTATGAGGAGGACTGGCCTGGAGGCTCGCATGAGGGGCTGGGGGACCACTAGGGAGGCCACCAGAGACCTCAGTCTCTGTCCATGGAGTCAGGCCTGCCTCAGAACCACATCTTGCCTTGGTCATCACCTAGACCCAAAAGACCCTCCATCAGTCCCACCCCTCCCCCCCCAGACCCAGCACAGGCCATAGGTCTGGAAACCCACTCCAGCCTGACCTGAAGGCACTCACTCTCTGAGGGGCAAGCTCTGGGACCCTCTGCTGGTCCTTGGAAGGACGCACAAGTGGACAATAGCCCCTCCTCCCTTGCAGGTGCTGTGTGGATTCAGCCAAAGGGGTGGGCTCCTGCCTCCTACCTTGGATCTGACCCTGTGGGGGATCCTGCCCTCACAGGCCCATGCTGCAGGATGGGGATAGAGCTCCGGTAAGGCAAGAACCTAAGAGCCGGACCAGTGGAGGGCCCACTTTCTGATCTGAGTGGCAGTGAATGGCAGTGAAGGGGGGAGCTTGGGGGAGGCCGGGTGCGCTGAGGGAGCCAGCAGCCCCGCCCAGGCCCCCGAGGCAGGTGAGTGTGCATGCTTGGGGGGTATACCTGAAGGCTGTGGCTGCCAGGTTAGACGCCAGCCTGGCCCACAGGTGCCACGAAGGCCACACACAGCCCCTGCAGTGCCAGCACTGTGGCCTCCAGCCTACCCCAACCCTCACCCCTCTCTGAGATGCGGAAGGAGCCCGCATGGCGGGCGGGGAAGGCTCTTCTACCGCCCCTGTGGCTGGCAGACAGCTGCTCACACCGCTGCGCACACCGAGTCCTGAGCAGCTCAGGCTGGTGACCTTGGGCCGAGGTCAGCAACCTCTAAGGGGTGACCACTTCACACAGGTGGTTCTGTGTAGTACTGGAGGTCCGAGTGGACCTTGGCCGGCTCTGGCCCTGACTGCGGTGGTCAAGGTGGAGCCCCGAGTAAAGGCGGTCAGCCGCTGGGCCTGGAGAACAGCCAGGGGGGTGGAGAACAGGAACGGGTGCTCCAGGTAATGGGGACAGCAGGGCAAAGGTTCCAAGGGGGGGAGGCGTGGCCAGGCAGGGACCTCGGGCTGCGGGCTTGAGGTCAAGCCCCGGTCAGAACGGCGGCCTCGGGGTGAGCAGGGGGCGCCCGGGGCTGGGTCAGCACTTAGCCCACACCAGGGGCTGCGAGTTCCCGAGCGCGGACGCTGAGCGGGGTCCCCGAGGGGGCGGCACCGCCTCCCCGCGCTGGACCAGCTGCGCGCGAGGGTGAACGGACGGCCGGGGACCCACTCGCACGGCCCGAGGCACAGGGGGGTCGTCTCCAGGACTCCCGCCCCTGTTCGGGACCCCGCGCTCGCGACAGCCCTCGCGGTCTAGCCGCCCGCTCCGGGCACGGCGGAGGTGGGCGCGCGTTCCGCCGGTGACCTTCCCCGGCACAACCTGGGGCGGGACCTGCGAGTCCCCGCCCCGCCCAGGCGCCGCCATTGGCTGGGGTTTCGGGGCCCTTTGGAAACCCCGGCTACCATTGGCTCCGACGGCCCCGCCCCACACGCCTCGGCCACCGCCCGCGCAGGAGCTGCGCGTGCGCGGTGTGTGTGTGTGTGTGTGTGTGTGTGTGTGTGTGCGCGCGCGCGCGCGCGCGCGCGGGGGAGGGCTGACGTGTACTGCCGCGCCACGCTGTGCGCCTCCGCGGCTCTACTACAGCGAGCTAGTTCCGGGCGGCTCGCCACGCACCCTGGGCCCACCGGCCCTCGTCGACCCGGGGTGACGGCGCCCGGCCCCG